TGAGACAAACACATAGCCAGATCTTGGTGATGCTGGAGATGTGCTCTGTCAAACCCAGAAGCAAGCAGAATAATGAGGAACAGACAAGAAAAACACTGCTCCAGTCAGCAGAGAGATTAAGAAGGTCCAAGAGCCAGCTGCTCATAGGTCTGGGGAGGCCCTATCCCAAAGAAGTGAAGGGAGGAGAGAGAGAGGAAGTCACCAGTGAAATATGGAAATGGTAGAGGAGTAGGTATGCTTGACCAGTTAGCAAGCTGGATCAGTCAGACCCCTGGAAATAAGGCACTGATACACACATAGAAAACAAAGGCATTATCAACTCCAGGGAAATCAAAGAGGCTAGTTTAAAAAGCAAGGCAAGGAAAGGTATGTGTGTGGCTCAGAGGTGGATGATACTGGCATTGTCATAAGTATGTGAACAAGCACTGGTGAGTAACTTCCCCTCTCTGAAGCCCCATGACCTCACCTGTACAACCAGGATGCCAGGGCTCACATCAGAGTCTTTGTGAGCGTGATGTGATGTCAAGGGCTCAGTGTGGCACTGGACACAGTAAGACAGATCTGAGCTGCTCAGCTAGTGCCATTATTAATACTGCCACTCCCTACAATATGAAGTGTCAAAACATCACATGGTAACCCGTTAGCAAGTACAATCTTTGCATGTATTAATTAAAATTGATTTTTAAAATATTCTACTTCCATTGTTTCATTCATCTCTGAATCCAGTGCCTTCCCAAATATCAGGCACACAGAAGGTGTTCACAGCTGAGTGACTCCCTTATGCATAGGTCCTCTGTGCAAACTGAGTGGAACTCAGTGGCGTGAGCAGGGCTGCACCTTCTTACCCTGCGTCAACCTTTCCCACCTGTACCTACTCCATCCAAGCTGGACTTCAGAGGGTCCTGCTAGGGACAGGAAATCAGGAATCCTAGCTCTTGCTTTCCACACTCAGAAGAAACACACATAGGCAGGAAATACACATAGGAAATAATTTCTCCCAGATTAAAAGAAATAACCTAAACAAAAGTTTAAAGGTGAGAAAAATAAAAAGTTTTTTAAAGTTTTAAAATAAATGTTAGGGCTGGGGATTTAGCTCAGTGGTTCTGCTGACTGCCTCACAAGCACAAGGACCCGAGTTTGATCTCTAGTACCCAAAATAAATAATAAAAATAAAAATAAAAACTTACAGAGAAGAAATTATTAGATGATTTCTTTACAACCTTGGAATATAAAAGGCCTTTAATTATGACACCAAACCCAAAATTCATAAAAAGAAAGACTGATAAAACAGATTGCAAAAAATAAGCAATCAAACAAATAAAAACCTTCATGGAAACAAACACCTTAAGGAGAGTACAAAGACATAAGAAAAGTGGGACAAAGCACTTGCAGTTCTTCTATGAGGGATAAACAGAAAAAGAAAAACCAACCACTCAATAGAAAAACCAAGAGAGTCTATGGACTTAAGTATAACATCAAAATGTGCGTTGCCATTCAGAAAGGACAGGTAAGCTATAGTCACGTGGTTAACATCTCCCCCCCATTACAGTGCTTCAAATGCAAAGGTTTACTAACACCCTCTATTGGCAGCCCCGTGAGGAAAGCAGCACCCTCTCATCATGGAAGGGGAGTGATTGGCTGACCCTCCTGGAGCACCGCTGGACAGCGTGTGTCATGGATCTGATGACCCGGAGATAAACCCAGATTTATCCTACAGGGAAAATGGATTAATACATTGCAGTAATGTTTGTAATAGCCAGAGATTGGCCATAAGCCAACTATCCATCAGTGGGGGATTGACTGAGTAAACTGTAGTACACTTACCTACTAAGCTATCCTGCAATTATTTTAAAAGATCGTGAAGATGCTGAGGATGTAGCTCTGTGGCAGAGTGCTTGCCTAGCACGTGAGAGGCCCTTGATTCAATCCCCAGCACACATACAAACACAAAATTACTGAAGACATCTTCATTCTTTAGATACACATGTTCACAGAAGCATTACCAAACAGTGGAAATGTTCGTCAATCAATGAATGAATAAACAAAATGTGATATATCCATAAATGAGTATCATTTGGCCATGAAAATGAATGAAATTCTGATACATGCTGCAATGTGGACATTGCATAAAGAAGGCCAATATGTCACATATCACCTGATTCTGCTATGAAGTGTCCCAAACAGGCTGAACTATAGAGATGGAAAGAAGACAAGTGGTGATCTCAGGCCAAGGTGGGCCATAGTGAAGCGATAGCACTTCTTTTCGGAGTAGAGAAATGTCCTGAAATGACTGAACACCTCAGTAAATATACAAAAACACAGAATTGCGTGCCTTAAGTAGATAAACTTTAGGGCATGCGAATTATGTCTCATACAGCTGTTTGTCTTGGGGAGGCAGGTATTGAGCAGATGAGGGAGAGGAGGAAAGGAGGACTTCCTGCAATGTGTCTTTCTGTCCTTTCTGGGTGTCAAATCCCATGACTACACTACCTATCTGAAAGTGAATTTCAAACTGCAAGGATCAAGCAAAATTAAAGAGACCTCTTTTGATTTGGGCGGGGAGGTGGGAGGAAGGGAACTAACTCCCACCTTGGGCTCACTGTGAATTGACAAGCTTAGTGGACAGCAGGTTAGGTGGCACAAGGGCAGCCCCAAAGAGGTCCCGGGGCTCATTCACAGATAGCAAGGCACCAAAGCCACTGGACTGGATGTGTAGAGAGCCCCCACATGGAGGATATTCCACTGACCAGAAGGTGCTCTCTTCTGCCTGACCCCCGCCAGAGCCTCTGTAAAATCCCAGAGCCACCATCCCTTCCCAGAGAGGCACAGGAAATCTCCCAAAAGTGACACCAGCTGGGGGAACAAAAGCTTCAGAAAGAAGCTGTATCGGTGAACAGGGAGGAAAGGAAGAATTCCCTTTGCTTACAGAACCTGTGACTAGGCTCACACTTGGCTGTGGCAGGGCTGAGACACAAGGGGAGGCATTCCCTGTACCCTGAAACCAGAGAGCAGCCACGAGGGACAATTCTTAGAGCCTTCTGCTGCGCTTTCCTGGTATGCTTGGCTAGTTACCAGGTGCTATATACCAAGAACAACTTCTGCCATCAAAGCAGTTAGAAAAATGCTTGGCTAAAGAAAGTCACAGCCAGATAGTGGCTTACATTACTCAGAAAATCCCTGAGCTATGCCAGCGCCATGATTTGGTGGAACTTCTCTGCAGCTGTTCATCGACAATAAGCACCCCAACACATTTGATCTTGGCCAAAAGGCCGAGAAGCGATGTACCCCAACAGATAAGAGTGAAGACTATTTCTGACCCAAATCTGAAACAAATTGGGTTTAACACTCACTTTTGCAGGTTTCAGTAAAGGCATTTTTATTTTTTCAATCAATTTATGCCTTTGTAAAATGGGCATATAACAAGATCAGCTACTACTCTATTCTGATTACCTTGAAAGAGGAAGGAAGACTTGAATTTCTCAGTACCAGTTAAATAAGAATATGCGAACATTCTCAGAATTATTCTTTTTTAGTATATGTGCTACCGAAGCAAGCATATCTCACAATTATTCTTAAAGTAAAATGTTCCAACAGTTGAAGAACAGAATGAGATCTGAAGCTACAGCTGTTTGCCTGCAATTTATTTCTCTCAGGTAAAATATTTTTCTATTTGAGCAAAATATCATCATATATAATATTAAATAAATTAATGTGTTACATTTGCATTCTATTGCTTTTATATTTTTGTTTTAACTTAATTTGTAAAGACTTTGTCTTTTATAGTTGCATGAGAACTACAAGTAAGAAAATTATATCCCTATTTCATGTTGGTAAAAAATATAAGAAATATTAAAATAAAAATATTTCCAGTTAAGTCAAAGTCAAAGTATTTTTTTAAACTGCAGGGCTTCTCAAAGTCTTTGCTTGTGATTCTTCAAAAGAGGGTCTGATAGGATTAGAGTGCTTTTGTGTTTCTGAGGGACATCTAGGGAGTGGCAGCTTTTCCCCACATCATAGGTGAGGGAAAGTTCTCCCCCAAGGTTGCTAAGCCAATCTATGAACAGTGGGGGCTGGAGCTCCTTCCTTCTTGGCTGGCTGATTCCACAGCCTGAGGCAGCCTTTGGGTGTTAGGCTTTCAACTCCTGGTCCTGGTACCCAGGGTGATTTCATCCTGTGTCAAGGAACCTTCCATCCAGCTCTCTAAGAAACTTCATTTACATGAGCCCTTTTCTCAGGATGTGTCTGGAGAAGTTGCTGCAGGACACAGATGAGAATCAGAGGAAAGACACCCTCCAAGCCAAGGCTATAGGGAACCCAGGCTATGCCCTTCCCTACATGGGCCTTGGGTCCACCCACAGAGAAGGGCAGGAGCCCTCTAAGCAGCAGGGTCTTCCCAGTAGTATCTGGCTTTGAGCAAACCTTTAAAACCTGAGCTGATGAAACACTACAGGATAAACAGTCCCACTTCTTTAACATATAGACAGCAAGGAGAAAACAACAACAATAATAATGAGACAGCAGGAACTTGACTGGGTTAAAACACACAACCAACGTCTAATGTGTGTGTGTGTTGGGGGGGCAGGTATTGGAATCCTGATTTAAACAAATCAACAAAAAAGGTGCTAACAGGGCAATCAGGTATGTCTGGACACTGACTGGCTACTAGATACGATTTAATAGTGGTAATGGCATGATGGCTAGTTTTGGGGATTGTTTAGAATTTTTAAGAGCTGAATATCAAGATGTCTATAAAGCACACCACCCGATGTTGGAGATTCGCTTTAAAATGATTTAGTCAAAGAGGGAAATAGAGGCATTGTCATCCCAAAGGAAACAATCTTGTCTATGGCAATCTCCAGTTGATTCCTCTTTTGGAAAGCAAGACCCACACACCAAAGATCCCAGACTCGGGCTCTGCATGTGCCTGGCCACAGGCCAGGGCCTCCTCCAGATCCAGCACAAGGCCCTTTCCCACCTCCCTGCCAGTCCCTGCTACTCACAATGCACCTCTGGCCCCTGAGGCTCCAGTCCCTTGTCTCCTCTGGCCCAGGCTACTCATTACTCAGGGGGTTTATTATTAGCCTGAGATTTGATTAGTGCCTAGGCTGCGCTTCCTGGGTTTTCCCCTCAACCTGAAGGATGTAAATCAGCCACCTCCCCACCACCTCTGCGCCTGCGCACTCAACCCCAGGAGCCAGGTTGGGTAACAGGGGTATAGCTCCTGGGTCCCGTCAGTGCTGTCCACTTTTCTGCACAGCACCCCACCCCCTCCCATCCCCTGGCCATAGGATGAGTCATCTCTGGTGTGGCCCAGGTAGTTTCAGATGTTCCCTGGCCTACCGCAGGGCCAATCTCTTGCCCCTCCGCACACCCTAAGCCAGACCAGCTCTTGGGGAACCTAGTCTTAAGATTTGCATGGCTCAGGCTCTTCCCCTGTCCTGGACAAACTTCTATTTCATTGCCTAGTCCTCTTCTGTCCCTTCTTTAAGACTCAGTGAAGGTCTCACTCCCTCCCAGAAGCCACCCCTGTTGTCCCAGCCCATTAGGGGCTCATTTTTGTCCTTACTTTGCCCTCTCTTCACACCTGTCAAAGCACTGAAGAGGCTGAGGATTAGAGCCAGTTTGAGTTTGAGTCTTGAGTCTGCCACGTACTACCTGTACACGTTGTTGGCAATTTATGTAGGTAGTTTTCTGTGCCAACATGTTCTGTTCCACAAAATGGGTATCAAAAAACTACCTGTCTCACAAGCCATTGTGAAAATGAGAGAGGTTAACAGTCATGTTCTTAGAGCAAGTTCACGACACACTCAGTTCTCTACAAATGACAGCAAGGATTGAAACTGTGACCCTTATTACCCCATATTGTATCTGTTCTAGGACCTTCCCAGGCCTTCTGAAAACTTCCAGGGGAGACAAGCCCACCAGGCACTTTCAGGTGCATTATAGTCGGGACACAGAATCGACCTGCCTCTCCATCAGTAGATTCAGATAAGGAAAAGGTGGCACACATCCCCCGTGGAATACTGTTCAGCCTTTATATAGAAAGAAATCCTGTCATTTGCATCAACATGGATGGAACTAGAGAATGTTACGTTAAGTGAAACAAGCCAGGGCAGAAAGACAAAAGACCCAAACGTTCTGACTCATGTGGAATAAAGAAGACCTCAGAAGTTAAGAGTCGAATGGTGACTACCAAAGGCTCGGAAAGGAAAGAGGTAAGTCAACAAGTACCAAGTTAACTGGATGAAATGAATAAGTAAGTTCTGGCATTTCATTGCATAGTAGGGTGACTATAGTTAACAATAATGTACAGCTCTAAATAGCTAGAAAAGGGCTAGGGGTATAGCTCAGTGGTAGAGTGCTTACCTGCGAGGTCCTAGATTTCGTCAGTAGCACTAAGCAGGGAGCGGGAGGGGCTATGTTTGGTTTATCCATTGGCAAATTTTAAAAATTTCATCTGGGGGGCTGGCAATTTAGCTCAGTGGTTCGGTGGCCTGCCTTGCAAGTGCAAGGACCCGAGTTCAATCCCCAGTACAAAAAAAAAAATTTCATCCTACCAAGTGCTGGAGGTGATCTACAGAAACATGAATTTACTTCCTGCTGGTGGGTGTGATTGAGTAGCACCATTTTGGCGGGCAATCTGCCAGGCCTATTAAAATGTAGAACATACATCTTCCCCTGTGCTCCAGAAATTCTCCATCTCTGAAGCCTTCTTATTGATAACAGGAGACAAAACCAATCTAAGTGTCCATCCACAGAGTATGGCTGATATCAGGGGCACAGGCCATAAAAAGCAGGACACACAGTAGCTGAAGAGAATGACGTGGGTCTATAAGCTCATCAGGGCAGATTGTAGAGTGAAAAAAGTAGTTTATAGCATGACACTTTACTTTTAGTAAAACAACACCAAAAGCAAATTGCACACACACATGCGCACATGCACTCCCGCTCTGTGCTGCCCAGGACCACATGCCTAGGATGCAGTGCCCGAGAAGTCTGAGGGACATGCATAATGACAGTGGCTTCTCCCAGCACTCCAGAGCTAGACAAGGTGTTCCAAGAGGACCTTAGCCTCATTGGGAGATTTTCATCACTTGTGTCAATAAAAAGTAACAAAACCACAGCTGGGTTTTGAAGGAGGTGACCCATAAACTCCATTGCCAGGAACAGTCCGCCTGTCGAAATAGGGCAAGCCCAGCATTACTTCCGAATGCCTGTACTATGTCCCCTGCCTTCCAAACTGGTGCTTTACTGACATCTGGCCCCCTAGGGTTTGCTCTGTTAGAAACTTCTATCCACCTGTCAGACTGTGCCTTCCAGAAATGGAACTGGCCTCAGCCAGCCTGGTGCTGCTGTCAGGAGCCACACCTGTCATCCAGTCACGCAGAGGACTTTGGGGTTTCAAGGTCAGCGTGTGCTCTGCATGAAATGAGAACCACACAAGCCCAGTTGAGCCAGATGCTGGGGCACTTGGGAGTTGAAGGGAACGAGTCCCTCCTATCTCACTGCTGATCATTCTTTTGATACTTTTGTAGGCAGGAGCTCCCTCAAACAGCACTGGAGGTTTCTGAACCTCATTCTTCACTTTCCAAATCTCATTCTGAAACCAGCTCTGGTCGAGCCATCCCCCAGGGGCAGGCAGGCTTCTAATTATAGACTCCACAGTCAAGGCAACAGGGGAGTTTTAGAACGTCGAGGTTGGGGAGCTGGTTCTTTTATATATGAAAAATTAAACAGTTAAAATGCACACCTGATAAAGGAAAAATTCAAACAGTGTAAAAGGAAATACACTGAGGAGTAAATTTCTCTCTCATCCAGACACTTTAGACCTGCCAGCCTCTTTGTCAAGCCCACGCGCTCAGGTACATGTATTTGTCACTGGCTGATAAATTTCCCCTCTATTCCCCCTATCCTCTCCCTCCACAGCTTTTTTACAGTTGCTGGCTTATACAAATTAAACACACTGACTGTTTTACGTGAGATCTTTTTCATTTATTATGTCTTGGCATTCAGGCCAGATCATTTTTAGCAAGATATTAAACCACTCATTTCGGTTGGATGTGGTGGTGCACCCCTGTAACCCCAGCAGGAGAATCACAAATTCGAGACCAGCCTGGGTAAACTGGTGACTTAGTCAGATCCTGAACCAAAATTAAAAAATAAAAAAGGGCTGGGAATGTACCTCAGTGCAGAGGTACTGAGCTTAATCCCTAGTACCACAAATGAACAATAATAATCTTTAAAATAAAATGTTCACTAGGAATAATGATAATGGGAAGAATTTATATAGTACTAGGTTCCAGGCATTGATATACACCTGTTGGTTTAATATATATTTTAACTTTTTCTTGTCTCTTTGGAGGGCTTGAGATGCATGAATGGAATCATTCAACTGAAGAGACTGTTCTCATGTTGGCCAGTGTTTCCCAGTGACATGGCACTGGGGGTTACAGTATTGTCACCCTGAAGAATCCTTTGAAGCCACGCTATATAGCTTCTCTGAGTCAGTTCTTCAGATAAGAGAAAAGCAAGAGTATCCAAAATAGGGTATTTCTTAGACATGCAGCGAAAGCCCTCATTTTCATTATTGCAATTTACATAGACCATTCACGCGTGCTAGATTTCCTATGTTGCTAACCTAGCTGTTTCTTCCATCGGTACTCATTTCTCAGAAACGCCAGATACGGTTATTTTAGCAAAAGTCCATTCAAGGAAGGAAACAGCAGTTTCTTTATAAGAGTCCCCAATAATGTCTGCAGAGTCAGTCCATGGTTTCCTTCTGCAGTAATAAACATATTCTGGACTAAGACAGTCATGATGGTCGCACAGCTTGTGGTTTACTAAAAACACCTGAAATGTGTGCCTTTGACATGGTTAAAATGATGAATTTTATGTGATGATTTTTATCTCAATTTTTTAAAAATGAGGTTAGGCTTAAATGTTTCAAAGATTTCTTGGAGCTTGGAGCTCTATGATTTAAGAAAATCTAATGCATAGTAAGTGTTCAATAAACATGTAGTGAATTGAAGTGAAAGGAAAAGAGTCCCCAACCTCCTGTGGAAAGACCTAGGTGCTCTTTTTATTTTAAAAAATTTCCCTCAACTTGTTTTTTCCTGTACTAGCCTTTGCCCTAAACTATATCCCCAGTCCTTTTTTTAATTTTTTAATTTTTAAATAAGTTATTAATTAAACAAGCTAGGCTCAGACTTAGGATCCTTCTGCCTTAGCTTCCCAGAGTGCTTGGGTTAGATGTGTACACTACCATTCTCTTTCCTGAACACTTTTTATTATGAAATAATTTTAAAATGAGAGCCAGCTTGAAAGGGAAACATAATGGATGTCCATGACACCTCCCCTGGTTCAGCAACTCTTCACATTTGAGGATGTCTCTGTTCACATCTGTCTCTTTCTCTACCAAGCTACCTTCCTATGGAGGCACTGAAAATGATGTGCAGACAGAGGTGGTCTAGCCTGGCTCTGGATGGGACAAGAAGGAAAGAGAGAGAGAGCATAGGATAAGATGATGAGAGGGAGATAGGCGTTAGGTTAATAATAAGCTACTATCTTTAGCTGATCACCTACTAAGTGTTTGGCACAAACTTGATTTGTTTTTTTTGTTTTGTTTTGTTTTGTTTTGGTACATTCTCAGGTCCTTGCGCTTGTGAGGCAGGCAGCAGCACCACTGAGATAAATCCTTGGCCCACAGATTTGATTTTTAAGTCACTCCATCCTCAGGATAAGAGAGATGCTCCCATGTCCAATTTTTACAATGAGAAAGTCGAGGTTTAAAAGACTGAGCATTTTGCATAGTCCAGGATGTGGTGGGGCTAGGGTTTACTCTCACAATCTCTGACCTCAGATCCCAGGCTCTCCTTGCCAGTTCTGGACTGGTACCCATGACAGCTGGTAACTGGGGGTCAAATAGGACCCCAATTTCCTGCTGACTTTGTTGTTCTTCTGCCCAGGAACCCCTGTCCCTTAGAGAGGACAGGCAGGGTGAGAAGCAGAGATACCTACTTGCAAAGTCCACAAACATTAATTGAGGACCTACAGTGTATAGGAGTAGTGAGGACACAGCAAGCTTAAGTCAAAGGTCCTTTCAGTGAGGGACCCAGAGTCTGTAGGGATGGGGTGGGTGAGAGAGACAGCAAAGGAAGTGGGGTGACAGGGTCAGGAGAGGGGTGCCGAGGGCCTGGGCAGTGGTCAGGTGGCCTCTGCAGGGATGATGCCAACTTCAAAGTCCCCACAAAGGACAGTCAGTGCACCAGGAGATAGTGGACTTTTCATCACAGAGGAAAAGAAAGGACCCATAGAGGTGCATCAAGAACAATGGGGAGCTGTTTATTGAGTGATTGAAATATCCAACTTGTGGAGCAGACAAGCCCCTTTGAACTGAGTCACATTGGACCAAGTAAGCACCCTGCTTGAGAAACACAAAACAAAAAATGCCTTCTGGTGCAGGATAGCTCATGAAAATGTTCTCTTTGGGGAAGAAGGCAATATGTGAGTCCCCTGGTGGTCAGCAAACCCAAACAATAATAGATGCAGCAGATGAAATAAGGCAGATCAGTGATTCCCCAGCTGCAGCTGCAGGATTCAAAAGTTTTTGGTAAAAGAGGAAAAACATTTTAGATCTTATGTGTTGCAAGACTTGAGTTTAATCATCTGCTACAGTGCTCGCTTCGGCAGCACATATATTAATCACCTGCTAGTACTGAAGGTTAATTTCTATTTTCTCTCCTTTTCCAGATAAATGGGGCTGTGGTACATCCAGGCTAACCTGGGTCTGGGCCCTTAAACCCACAGAGGTGGTCTAGCCTGGCTCTACCAGAGTGACAAAGGACACAGGTCCCCAGGGTAGGAATGGTGAGATCCTGCTCCCAGCTGCCTGCCAGGAACCATCAGCTTGACATTTTTTGGCTGTTAGTCAGCTTTCCATAACTACATCAAAATACTTGAGATTATCAAATGACAGTATCAGCCCTCAGAAAACTCTCTAATGGCTTTTTCTTGTTCTCACAATTTTTATATTATATGTAGTTAGAAGCTTAGTCATATTCAATTTACAGCATAAGTCTCTGTATCACATCCAAGAATGTAACCACACTTGGACTGAGTATGTTTGGAAAATGACTGCATCTGCACTGAACATGTAAGACTATTTTTTCTTGTCATTACTCCCTAACAATATGATGACTTTTTCTATAGAGTTTAT